GTGCTTAACTAATAATCATGATTATCAATTTAAAGAATTCGTATAGTCAGGTTCAGATTATGATATAATTATTTATAAAATAGTTTTAAATAGGTTATAATAACGAAAAGAACCAGAACTAATATGTTTTAAACTTACTAATGTTTAAGAAATGTTTGTGGTTATATTATTTGATTTAAAACACTTGCAGTACTATTGAGATGACTTCCGTCATTCCAAATTTAAACAATTTTAAGGTTATGTTTTATAGAAATATATATCAGAGTAATGGCTATATCGGGGAACTGAATGTATAGTTTAAAGTCATAGGACTAATTTAGAACTAAATTAAGGCTGCAGGTTGGGCCATTCCATTCTAAAAAAATAGTGCTTAGATAGTCGAATACGAATTGCAAATTATAGTTAGCTTTCATTTTAGCTGGTTGGAAGAAGTACTGTTAATTGTGTATACGAAGAACAAATTTTATTGTTTATTTGAGAACTAATAAGGAACTGAGAGGAACAAATTATTCTAAGAAATAACTCTTCTTACTATTACTTATTTTAAAATCATAATTAAGACCTAATATTACATAAACATGATTCTAGATTCACATTTAAAAATGTTTAAATTTTTTTGTTGATGCACCAAGTGTTAAATAAAAATTTTTCTGTAAATTGTGCCTTACTAATAATCATGATTATTAATATAATTATTTATAAAATAGTGTTAAATAGGTAATATTTATGAAAAGAACCAGAACTAATATGTATTAAACTTACTAATTTTTAATAAATATTTTTGGTTATATTTATATTTAATTTAAAACACTTGCTGTCCTATTGAGATGACTTCCGTCATACCAAGTTTAAACAATTTTAAGGTTATGTTCTATAGAAATATATATAAAAGTAATAGCTATATCGGGGACATTTACTAAACTGAATGTATAGTTTAAAGTCATAGAACCAATTTAGAACTAAATTAAGGCTGCAGGTTGGGCTATTCCATTCTAAAATAGTGCTTAGATAGTCGAATTGCAAATTATAGTTAGCTTTAATTTTAGCTGGTTGGAAGAAATATTTATTTATTTGTTTATACACCCGTCTTAAGCCTACAATCTTGGCTATACAAGTGTTATTACAACCGTAGAACATTTCTTACAAACATTTCTTAATACTAAATTTTTGCGCCTACTGAGCGACTTGAAAATTAGGAGTACTCGCATTTGCCTGGACCACCTGTCTAATGGGTTTTCTCGCCACTGGAGAGGGAAACTGTAGAAAACCTCATTGAGTACAACCGGTTTATCGACAGTCGAATTCTAATGGTGTTGTGGCATCTGGCATCAGTGCCTAGTAAGTTTTATAGGGAATTTTAAATTCTATATAAATGAACTAGGAATTTTGATTGTCATCTTGGAGGATTCAAATTTAAAAATCTAAAGTTGTATTTATATTACAATTAAACATTATTATTATTATTGTTATTATTATTATTAATATTATTATTATTTGATCCAAAAATTGAAAAGGCCTTTTATTTGACATTTGTTCTTTCTATTTCTCTCTCTATTTTATCGTATAATCATTGTATTTCTATAGGTTATATTATAAAACTATTGTAATTATTTTAGAAAACTGTAATTAAATATAGTATTAATTGTATTAATATTAAGTTAAATTTATTATTATTATTAATGTTTAATTAATTAAGGAATATGTATTAACTATTTTACTTATATTTGATTAAATAGAACGAAATTATGATTATGAAATGCTGAATTTGTACTTCTTATTATTGATAAGAAAAACTGCAAAATTATATTGTAAATCTTCGTATGACGGTTATTTTATTGCGCAGATAAAAACTGCGCAGTAAAATATATAACAATGAGTCATTTGTAAGATGCGTAATAATCTGACCTTGAGATCTGTTAAATGCGTAATAATTTAACCTTGACACGTGTCATTATTTTGGTCATTTGGAAAATGCGCAATAACTTGACCTTGAATGTTCAACGCTTATTGGTCAAGTGCCACGTCATCAGCGCTCTGATTGGTTAAACAAAGAGGGGAGGGTAAACCTCCCCCCTTTTAGTTGGGTATATAAAGAGAGCGCCTGAGACCCAAAGACTTAGACAATTTTCGAGACTTGAGAAGAGACCACTAATTAGTAGTGCATATCTTTAAAAGTATTATTGTTAAATCAGCGAATCTTACAATTTGTGAATAACTAAATCAAACAATTTAAATTGTTAAATTAATATTTAACAATAAAAACAATTATTTGTAAAACAGAATTGTTAAGTGTATATTTGAACTTAAATAAAATTGGTTTTTTACCCGAAAGGGGTTTTTCCAATCAATTATAAGTGTATATTTATTATTCCACCTTCAATCTAAATAACAAATTCAAATTTAAATTCAGTGCCCGCTTTCAAGCGGTTATAACAGTAAAAAGAATCCAGCCATTGGTTATTAGTGAATCCAACGGAAATATACTTAAAATATAACCTGTGACGCGACAGGTGTGTACCGGACAATAATCGACTTTGCACATCATTATACTTCGACGTCAAACCTCCCGCTCAGATTCTCTCACGTGCCGGAAAAATCTTAGGCTAATGAGCGCGAACCAAGTACCCTTGGTCCGCCCACCGAGCCAGGCATTTATCCGACCGAGCCAATCTGTCGGTGGTTGGAAGAAATACTGTTAATTGTGTATACGAAGAACAAATTTTATTGTTTATTTGAAAACTAATAAGGAACTGAGAGGAACAAATTATTCCAAATAAATAACTCTTCTTACTATTACTTATTTAAAAATCATTTTAAAAACATAATATTACATAAATTTTGATGTTTTGTGACTACTTTGATGTTTCCTGAAGCTTTTGGTTAATTCTGACTAAAGGGTTTTTTATGCTTCTGTTGAATCCTGATGTTTATAGATTGTGATTATTGAGCATTGAAATCATTTTTTTATTTACAGCATCTCACTGAAATATAGTCGGTAAATGTAAAGTATCGTTAAAACTTGAAATTTGTGCGTAGACCTTTTTTTACAATCGAATCGCGGTCTGAAATTGTTTTGCATTATTTGTGTTCTTGTTATTATTTCCTATTATATGTTTAATAAAATATTTTTTTTCTTAAAGTTACTACGACTTTAAGGATTACATTCTCATCACATGTTTTTGTTTGCTGATGATTGGGAGATTAAGTGGATTAAAATGTATATTTTTGGTAGAGATGTGCAAAAAGCTCGAAATGTCGATACGAGCCAAGTCCAAGCCGGCTCGATGTATCAAGTACTCGACATTTTCGAGTACTTGAGTGACTTCAAGTACTCGAAAAATTCGAGTACTCGGGTAAATTCAAGGACTCGATTAAATTTGAGCACTAGAGTGAATTCGAGTACTCGAAACTATTCGAGCTTTTTACACAGCTCGGCTCGGCTCGGCTCGAAAAATAAAAAGCTCGAAAAAGCTCGATCAAGATTTGAGCTTCAAGCTTTTTGCACAACTCTAAATTTGGTCTTGATGATTAAAATTGGAAAGTTATTTTTAATTATACCAACTCTCTTAGCAGAAACATGATTTGCAGAAGCAGCTAAAATATTTTTAAAGTATTATTATCAAGTTGTTGATAAAAACGAATTTTTATAAAAGTTATAACAGTTTACAAAATCAATAACAAATTCTTTAACACAGTTAAGGGAGCGTTCACAAATGATGTCACGCAATTTTTCGGGATTTTAGACCCCCCCTACACTGTCACGCTACTTCATGCAATTTCACTTGCAAAAATACATTGTGTCACGTTTAGAAGTGACCCCTCCCCTGCCCCCAAAAACGTGACATCATTTGTAAACGCTCCCTAAGCTGACTGACCCAAAAACTTAAAAAAAAGTAGTTTCTGACGAAAATAGCTGGTTAACGAACTTGGCCTTCATTTTTGCACCAACTTTAAGTGTGTTAAATTTAAAAACGATCGGATAAGTTTTTCAAGAGTTATCGTGGGTACAAAATTTTTGGTCTACAGACAGACAGACAGACAGACGAACAGACAGACACCATCGCCGGACCATGTTTTTTGGGTTCAGGGGACCCCAAAACGTCGAGATTTCATGAAATTAGCGAAAGTCAATTTTCGACCAAAACTAATACTTTTTCATATGATGAGAATGTAATAAAAATTACTTTTTTTGATAATAACTCGAAAAGTATAAAGTTTGGCGAAATGGTGTCTACAGCAATGTTGTAGCTGAGGATGAGACGAGAAAAAAAGTCTCTAGTAGCAAGATTCCATATGGAATAGATTCGGAGATAATTGAGTCGGAATATCGATTTTTTGCCAAAAAATAATATATATATATATATATATATATATATATATATATATATATATATATATATATATATATATATATATATATATATATACATATATATATATATGTATATATATATATAGAGTGGTTTTTCGAGAAATTGACAGTTTTATGTCTGTAAATATGTTTTTCTAACACACGCATCGAAAGTACACAATTTCTCACCTATGAAGAGGGTGGAAAGTACGTCTTTCCCGGAGGCAGGGAGAGAATGTTACTTTCCGTCCCCGCTGTGATTTCACGGGGAGAGAAAGTAATATTTTTTTCTTGCTGCTATAATAATTTGTAATTTTTTTCAATAAATGCGAAATATAAAAAGAGCTATATATTTTTTAAGATTAAATATGTATCATATTGTTATTTTTTTAATTAATAATGGATTTTTAATAAATTTTACAACAATAATAATTATTAGAATTGTGGTTAAATGAATATATTATTAGTAACGAGTTTGTATAAATTGCAAAAAGAGTAAAAGAGACTTTTAATTGTATTTAGTCAATCGATTATCACTTCGATATTTGGTGCTTCGATATATCGAATCGTAAATCGACTATATTCACGTGACTAGCGGTTGGCATTTAAGTTTTTATCGGCTTTATCGAATGTGCATAAACAGAGATTAATTTTATTTAACTGCATTTAAAAAATGGACGAAAGTGATTTCGATGTCACAGGAACACCTCCAGAAATAAGTGTAGCGGCTTCAAGTGTGGTTACAAATTTGTTGCCACCAAAATCAAAAGAAAAATACGAACGTACGTACTTAACCTTCAATAATTAGAAAAAATTAAATAAAATCTCATCATCGTCCGAAAATGTTTTACTAGTTTATTTCAACGAAATGGCAAAAACAAAACAACCAAGTACACTTTGGTCGCAATATTCTATGCTAAAAAGTACTCTAAGTGTCAAAAATAATATTAATATTAATTCCTACCAAAAACTGATCGCTTTTTTAAAACGAAAATCCAATGGATTTAAAAGCAAAAAATCAAACACTTTGACAGCACAGGAAGTGGAAAAGTTTCTTAATGAAGCACCAGATGAAACATATTTATCATTAAAAGTAAGTATAATTTTGGAAGTTTATTTCTAGTTAACTATTTTTTATTATAAAATAAAATTGTCATTGTTATATATTTTTTTAATTTTCATAGGTTGCTTTAATAATGGGAATAAGTGGGGCTTGCAGAACGGACGAATTGCTTAACATAATGATAGGAGATGTTGAATCACAGGAAGATATTTTACTAATTAAAATTCCGAATACGAAAACAAATGTAAGTCGGTCATTCACTATTGAAGGCAATTTTCGGGACATCGTTGAAAAATATAAAAACTTACGCGTGCAAAATACATCTTCAACCCGTTTTTTCAAAATTTTCGAAATGGAAAATGCACATCACAGGTTATTGGCAAAAATAAATTTGGTAAATATAAAAAATATACTTATAGATGTTAAATAGAATTAAAATAACATAACTATGAAATAATCTTAATATTAACAAAAACAATTTAATTTAAATGAATAATTTGATTTTACAGCTAACATGCAAAAAACAATTGCCGAATTTTTAAAACTTGAGAATCTAGAAAAATACACTGGTCACACGTTCCGACGCAAAGGGATACGTTGAAAATTCATTGAATTATAAAAGAACTACTGGACAGCAATTTTTAAATTTTGAAAAATTTTCAAATTCTTTTAAAAACGTGTTTTTCGAGTGTAATTTAGATGGAAAATATAAAAATTTCATTAATTTAGTCGAAAATCAAGATTTTTAAATTTTCTGTACAAAAAAAACGAAAAAATCGACCAATTTTCATTTTTCAGAAATTTTTAAAATCGTTCAAAAACTGATTTTTCGAGTAAATTTCTGTTTGAAAATGAAAATAAATAACGAATTCAGTCGAAATTTACGATTGCAAAAATTTTCGGAAACAAAAAATTTGAAGAAATTGACGAAAATCACAATTTTTAAATCCTTATTAATAAAATCAGACTTTTGTCTGTACATTGCATAGAATTCAAAATTTCTATTATATTCCTTCTTTTTACACTCTAAGGAATGCGAAAATACTATTAAGAAAATTATGTGTATATGTGTGTATGTGTGTATGTGTGTATGTATGTCCGCAAATTTTCGACCGCGTATCACGGAAAAACGGTTCGATCGTTTGAAGTGAAACTTGGCAGTCTTTTAGGCATTAGCCTAACTTAAAATCCTAGCGATAGTAGATTAAAAAATATTAATATGGACGAAAGTTATGCCATTTTTTCAAAAATTCGAAAATTCGAAATTTTTAGTTTTTTCATATACTTTAGTGAATTGTGCTTAAACTTGGTACAGGGTTAATTTTAGTGTTTCTTATTAAGATTTAATCGTCAGAATAATAAAATTTTGAATAACAAATAAAAAGTGTTAGATTTAAATATTGAAAAATTAAAAAATTAAAAGTTTAAAAATTGAAATTTTTTTGTAATTAATTTTTATACGGTTGTATTTCTTAAGTCAACAATAAAAATTTGTTGTTGAAATCATAAGTTTACTTTCTTAAAAGAATTCTATTAGGTCAGAATATTAACAATATCCATATAATTAATATGAGACTTTTGTCAGTATGTTGCACAGAATTCAAAATTGCTATTATATTTTAATAAATATTATTATTATTATTATTATTATTATTATTATTATTATTATTATTATTATTATTATTATTATTATTATTATTATTATTATTATTATTATTATTATTATTATTATTATTATTATTATTATTATTATTATTATTATTATTATTATTATTATTATTATTATTATTATTATTATTATTAATATTATTTTAATTAATGATCAAAAAATGAAAAACTCAAATTTCATTCTGATGACTAAATTGTAATAAAAAATACTAAAATTAACCCTGTATAAAATTTAAGTAAAATTAATGACAATAATTATTTCAAAAGATAAATTTTGAATTTTAAAAATTTTGAAAATATATAGCACTAGCTGTCATGTCGTACCCGTCTTCGACGGGTTTTAGTTTCTACCAATACATTTAACATTGTTTCTACCAATCTGGAAAATCAAAAATACCCGGGATAAATTAATTAATAATTAATAATTAATAATTAATAATTAGTTAATTAATAATAATTAATAATTAGTTAATAATTAATTAATTAATAATTAGTTACCATTAGCTACTCTCTAAATTTGAATCAGCGAAAAGTCGCTGATTCACCAGCCCAGAGTATGCAGCTGATGAAACAGCGTATATACGCTGGAAAATCAGTGCATATACGCTGTTTCATCAGTGTATATACGCTATTTCATCAGCTGCATACTCTGGGCTGGTGAATCAGCGACTTTTCGCTGATTCAAATTTAGAGAGTATTTCGGTAGTATAATTATACTATTTGAATAGTCTCCACCCTTTAGCAAAAAATCAAAAATTATCAAAAATTCGAGAAACCTAATTTCTTAAAATTTAACATTTTTTTCTTCTCTTTTATATCATTAAGCTTCATTATTTTTGTACTCTTCAAAAATACTTTACTTATATTTAATAGTCTTCACCCTTTGGTAAAAAATCTAAAATTATGGAAAATTAGCAAAAATTCATAAAACCGAATTTATTAAAATTCAACATTTTTTCTTCTCTTTTATGGCTTTTGGCTTCATTATTTTTGGGCTCTTCAAAAATACTTTACCTAATTTGTTATCTCCACCCTTTGGTAAAAAATCTAAAATTATGGAAAAATAGCAAAAATGCAAAAAAATGAATTTCTTAAAATTAAACATTTTTCCTTCTTTTTATGGCATTTAGCTTTATTATTTTTGTGCTCTTAAAAAATACTTTACTTCTTCAATAGTCTCCACCCTTCGGTAAAAAATCTAAAATTATGGAAAATTATCAAAAATTCAAAAAACCGAATTTCTTAAAATTCAACATTTTTCCTTCTTTTTTATAGCATTTAGCTTTATTATTTTTGTGCTCTTAAAAAATACTTTACCTAATTTGTTATCTCCACCCTTCGGTAAAAAATCTAAAATTATGGAAAATTAGCAAAAATTCAAAAAACCGAATTTCTGAAGATTCAACATTTTTTCCTATAGCATTTAGACTTTATTAATTTTGTCTAATGTAGCAAATTTCTTACTTTACATACTGATCTTTAAATAAAAAACTTTAATAACTTTTCCTGAAAAGCTTGCTTAAAGATTAAAAATCACTATTTTCTTAGAAAAAAGTTGATCTAAAAAAACGAAAAAAAATTTCAAAATACATCTTTTTTAAAAATTTTATCGTAGAAATGGGTTGTATTTATCTGAAAAAGTTAGCTAAGGATAGTTTTTTCATTCATTTTACAAAAGATAAAAAATTTGCATTTTTTTGTTTTTTTGAATTTTTTGGAAAAATGTCATAACTTTTGTTCAAGTTAATATTTTTTAATCGGATAAGGCTATGATTGTAAGTTACTTTAATACCTAATAGACTGCCAAATTTCACTTTAATTGGTTGAACCGTTTTCAATTGATGCGCGAACAAAGTTTTGCATACAGACAGAGACAGACAGACAGAAATTTTTTTTACATTTTTAGAATTCTAATGTCTCAAAACGAAAAAATATATAAAAATTTTCAAGTTTGGAGCAATGTACAGATAGTAATCTGATTTTATTAATATATAGATAATGTTCGTTCACATTAATAACTTTTAGTTTACTATAGCTACACTAAAAAAAGTTATATGATTCAAGTAATTATAATTATTTGAAAAATAATATCTTATTTAAAAAGTTTTTATTTCGATCTAATAAGAATTTATTTCGTTTAAATAATTTTATTTAGTTGAATCAAATAAATCTTAATTGGATTAATTAAATAAATACTTGACTCTAATAAATGAATTTATTTAACACAAATAATTTCTAAATTTTATATTTTTTCATGGATTGCTTCTAAACTTTCTATAGTTGAGTATTACATGTTATTTATTAACATTTTAGCATAATTTTGCAAAAAATAATACTTTATAACTAAAATGGAAATATAAAAATATGGATAGCTTTTAAACTTTATATAATTGAATATTACATGTTATTTAGTCACATTTTAGCATAATTTTTCAAAAATACTTTCTTATAACGAAGATGTAAGTATAAAAATGTTTTGAATATCAAAAAATTTAAAAAATTATAATTGATACCAATTGCTATGAAGCTAAATTCAGTAGTATTTGTGGGCTCTCTGATTTAACTTTTAGAAATATCACTTGATCAATGTAAAGACAAAAGTTAAACACGGTGTTTATTTTGGTTTAAAACAATTTCCGGCTTTGTCCAAATTTTTCCTGGTTTATTCGACGGGTTTTTTTTTAATAATACATTTAACAGGGTGTCTACCAACCAGAAAAGACGTAAAATATCAGGGAATTTAATGTAACAGAGAAAAACTGGATCTACTTGCTATACAATTAGTTCGAATTAGATTGTACTATAACTCAAAAAACTGGAGGAAATTTTAGATTGATTTTAATACATTATATTGATTGAAGTACTACAAATTGAGAAATATTGTTTTCTGCATTTGAATTAGTTAAAAATAACTAATTTGATAATAAAAAGTCGGTCACTGTTTCAAATGGTATTATTTTCCTAATGAAATAGACAATAGTAACTAATTATTATTTTTTCCCTGTCAAATCAAATTCCCGGCTATTTTCCGGTTTTCTAGGTTGGTAGATACACTGTTAAGTGCATTATCAGAAACTACAACCCGTCGAAGACGGGTACGACAGCTAGTTTCCTATAAAAAAAAAGAGAAAAACGACGATTTTTAAATTTTGAAAAATTTTCAAATTCTTTTAAAAACGTGTTTTTCGAGTATAATTTAGATGGAAAAAATAAAAATTTGATTAATTTAGTCGAAAAGCAAGATTTTTAAATTTTCTGTACAAAAAAACAAAAAATCGACCAATTTTCATTTTTCAGAAATTTTTAAAATCGTTCAAAAACTGTTTTTTCGAGTATATTTCTGTTTGAAATTAAAAATAAACAACGAATTCAGTCGAAATTTACGATTGCAAAAATTTTCGGAAACAAAAAATTTGAAGAAATTGACGAAAATCACAATTTTTAAATTTCCTATAGAAAAAAAACGAGAAAAACGACGATTTTTAAATTTTGAAAAATTTTCAAATTCTTTTAAAAACGTGTTTTTCGAGTATAATTTAGATGGAAAAAATAAAAATTTGATTAATTTAGTCGAAAAGCAAGATTTTTAAATTTTCTGTACAAAAAAAACAAAAAAATCGACCAATTTTTATTTTTCAGAAATTTTTAAAATCGTTCAAAAACTGATTTTTCGAGTAAATTTCTGTTTGAAAATGAAAATAAACAACGAATTCAGTCGAAATTTACGATTGCAAAAGTTTTCGGAAACAAAAAATTTGAAGAAATTGACGAAAATCACAATTTTTAAATTTCCTATAGAAAAAAACGAGAAAAACGACGATTTTTAAATTTTGAAAAAATTTCAAATTCTTTTAAAAACGTGTTTTTCGAGTATAATTTAAATGGAAAATATAAAAATTTCATTAATTTAGTCGAAAAGCAAGATTCTTAAATTTTCTGTACAAAAAAAAAATCGACCAATTTTCATTATTCAGAAAATTTTTAAAATCGTTCAAAAACT